TATGTTCTTGCTTCTCTCAGTATTTACACTCATTTACATGGATTTATCCTTTAATGACTGACAGAGAAATATAAGATAAAGACAGAGAAAGATAAAAGTCAGCAAAAATAGGGATTTTTCCCTTAATCCGGTGATTTGAATACCAAAGAAAAAAAAAGGGCTCAGCGGCTGTTTGCTGATGCAATCTTTGAGATGTGTCTACAACAGTGATTGAAGTCAGCTTGTGGTAAATTCAATTGATTGAACATGATTTGAATAGGCACACAACTGAGCAATCGAGGGAGAAGGGCCTCGGTAACAGAGGTGACCAAGAACCTGTGGCTGAGCTCCAGAGATCCTGTGTGGAGATGGAGTAACTTCGAGAAGGACAAACCATCACTGCAGCACTCTGAGATCTGGGCTTCCTGGCAGAGTGGCCGGACGTAAAACACACATGCACAGTGGTGATCCTAGACTTGGCGGGCCCCAGGTAAAGAATCCCATCAAAGACCACCCCCAAGCCCAACCCATCCCCCACATGTAGACTATTGGCAGACACTACAATTTACAGATATGCTATAAATGCCTCACATGCAGGCAATCAATAGATGCTAGCTACAGCACACATCATCAGGGACCCCACTTAGGGGGGTTTGGGGTAGCAGCAGTACACTGTATTGTGTCTTTATGGGAGGTTTAAGGAGGTTTATAGTTTCTGCAAAATGTACCTATATGAGGGGCCACGATCGGGGGCCCCTTTTCCCCTTGGGGCCCTAAACATTTGCCTTGTTTGCCCCTCCTGATGGTGCACTTCTGCACATGAAAGCAGCTAAAAGATTCTCAGACAGAGAAACAAGATTCTTTGGTCTGATGAAACCAAGATGGAACTGTTTGGCCTCAGTTCTAGGCCTCATGTCATGGACGAAACCAGACGCCCCTCACCGCCTACCCAACACCATCCCAAAGTAGCATCATGCTTTGGGGGTGTTTTTCAATGGCAACAACTGGAAAGCTGGACAGAGCAAAGTACAGAGATATCCTTGATGAAATATTGGTTCCACAGTGCTCAGGACCTCAGACTGGGCCGAAGGTTCACCATCCAAAAGGACGATGACCCTAAACACACAGCCAAGACAACACAGGAATGGCTTGGCAACAACTTTTTGAAAGCTCTCGAGTGGCTCAGCCAGAGCCCTGACTTGAATCCAATGAACATCTGTGGAGAGACCTCCTGACGGTCTCCATCCAACCTGACAGACCTTGAGAGGATTGGCAGAGAAGAGTGGCAGAATATCCCCAAATCCAAGTATGCAATGTCATATCCAAAAAAACTCGACTCTGTAATCGCTGCCAAAGGTGCTTCAACTAAGTACTGAGTAAAGGGTCTGAATACTTTTGTCAATGTGATATTTTAGTTTATCCTGTTTAATAAATTTGCAAAAACTTCTAAAATTCTGTTTTGGCTTTGTTATTATGGGGTATTGAAAGACTGAAAAAAGTGAAAGTGTCTGAATGCACTGTATATATAACTACTTATACACAACCACCTACCCGACCTCCTCTGTAAGACTTTTTCTGGTGCCATAAAAATGTCACAGTACTTCCACCTTTGCAACTTTTGCTTTACTAACAGATAACAGTGATTATTTAAACAAACACAAGAACTTGCCTGCAGGAGCAAAATTGCTAATTTTATATCTTCTATAAGTTTCAGTCTTTTACCATACTGCAAAAAAAAAAAAATTACAATTACTCCAGTCCAATGCAGCTATGAGCAGGTGCGATTTAATCGATTTTAGGCATGTCCCCTCGTGCCAGTGTAGTTCACGTTTTTCTTTCAGCTGTTCTTGTGTCTCTCCATCACTGTGTCTCATCATCTCCTTCACACGCTGGCTCCGCCAAACCGCCACGATGCAAAACGATGTCAAACTTCGTCAGGTGATTGACACGAGACACAAGCTGAAAATTTTCCGGCTTTGAGCAGTGCAACGTACAACACATGTAGGTTTCATTCTTCAGGGCAAATCATATGGTTCAGATGTGACTTAAGAAAACAAGACTTTTTTTTTTTTTCTTTTTTTCACGCTATTCACAAATATTAGAGGATCAGATCTGAATCCACATGGGAGAGAAAAAAAAATGTGAACTGGGAATTCTCAGCTGCAGATGAGTCAAATCTGAGTCACACTGAGACCTGTCCAAGTCTCCCGGCAGCAACTATCACATTAAAACCAAGTCATTCTCATTCTTCAGCTCTCAGCATCTTATTGTTGTTCATTAATGCAGTTCATTACTGAGTCTGCATGTAATTATACTCATGTGTGAATTCCCACATGCTCTATTTCAGAATTAGTTGATGTAATATGAATCTTTATTTAATTCGCAGTCATTTCCTGTCTTCTTCCACCTTGACAGAGAGGTCAGACATCACCGGCAGCTTGAGGTGCCTTGCTCAAAGACACTTCAGCGGGACAGTCAAAAGTGTCTTTTGACCTTGCTGCTAAACCAGGTTGAAACAGCAAATAGCTAAGGTCAAAGGTACAGGCAGCTCGCAGTCTACATTTTTATCAGATGATTAAAACTTTGCTCCGTTTTTCTAAAAGTTTAAATGACTTACAGGACTTTCAACATTAACATGAGTAGCAGGGAAAGAAAAGGGCTTCTTGCTGAACTGGCAGCTTTACTGGCACTAGAAAATATCATATTCAATACATTTTTATTTTATTTTATTACATCACATCTGAGAGACTCTTCTGTCAGGCACGGCAGGGCAGAACATGAATTTGACACTGTTTTCTGAGTGTGTGTTTTGAAAGGTTTCCTCTGTTACCACAGAATGTTACACTGCTGCTTGTAATGCTTCCACATTAGTGGTGCTCAAGTCTCGGTCTCAGGCTTGAGTCTGACTTTGCTGCATGTTTTTCTGTTATCTCAGACTTGTCTTGATCTCAAGGGTGTTGTGACTCTGGCTTGTTTCAGCCTCTGCTAACTCGATATCAGTCTTTGGTCTTGATTGAATTCATTTGGCTTTTTTCTTTTCCATTTTTTTGGTTGGTTGTTTTGGTTTTCCTGCCGAGCATCACCAGACAGTCTGATCTGTTGTCAGTCAATTCACTTAAATTCTTTAATAAGTGTAGGTAATGCTTATGCTTAATGCTTATGCATCATTAATGTAAAAATCCTTATTTGGTACATGCAGTTATGAGCAGAAATATGCTGAAAGACATAATAATCTCATCGCTACCAAGCAATGGTGGAAGAAATACTCATCCTGCATTTACAATCCTACTAAAATACAGAAGTATTCTTTCTGCATCAATGTGTAACTACTTTAGCATTTTTACTGTTGTACCTGGTTGTAGTGGAGCTAGTTTTAAATACAGGTCGAGCCCCTCCAAAGGGTCACAAGATAAATCTGAGGGGTTATATGATGATTAATGGGTTTGGAAAGAAGAAAAATGTGCATTCATTTTTTGGACTTTTCTCAGCTCTTTGCTGTTTTTTGTGAATTGTAGGAGGGTTTTGCCTCATTGGGCCTGAAACAACTGTCTAAATGAAAGAAGCATCCGTCTTAATGGTGGAACTGCTAACAACTCATAGACAAACAAGGGGGGGGGGGCACTGATTTCATCTTCAACAATGTGATTTATTTTATGTGATTTTTAGTGCCAAACCTTATTGGGAAAAGTAACCAGGAACTGTAGCTGACAAATAAATGTAGTGGAGAAAAAGAACAATATGAACCTCTGACATGTCGTGGAGTAGAAGTGAAAAGTAGCAGAAAATGGAAAGACTCAAGTAAAAGCACCAGAAAATTGTACTTGAACACACCACTTGAGCCTTGTATCAGTCTTGAATGCTCACACTTGAGCTTTTCTCAGACAAAGCTTCAGTGGACTGTATTACAACTGTAATACAACCATACAACAACCGTGGTGCTGCATTACAGTACTTGTACCTTATGATTACATCTAAATTTGTATTTCCTTTCTGTCATTCTATTTAAATGCTTGTTAGAGAACTTCTCTCATGATTTTGATTGAGATGTATGTAGACTGTGGTTTCATCAAATAGATGCTGTGTCTCATTTGTGATGAACTGCCAACTTGATGATGTGCGAACGTGAAGAATCAAGACGTTAATCATGCTTCACAATGTCTGAAAAATGATTAAATTCCGGAGACTTGAACTGCTGCTGTGAAACTTTCATATTCAAGTCAACACGTCGTCGCACATGGAGTGAGTGTGGTTCTGGAGGAATTTTAATCAAAGCAAGCCTCACATCTACACACAGTTCAAAGCACGGGATAGGACATTAGCTTGGATGTGTTATGGATGGAAGATTTTGCCAGTGCATCCTCTCGTTTTACATTTTATCCGTCTCGCTGAGCTCAACCAAAACTAGACTAGAGTGTGGAGGGGGGAAAAAAAGACTCAGTTTCAAGATCACTAACATGACAAGCAGCCAGAGGAGAGAAGCAGCGGGGTCTGACCCACACAGCTTTGATAATATTCCTGTCAACATATCAGGACCATGACAGAGGCATCAGGGAAAGAAACTGCATGTTTGAGCTCAGTGACTGTATGCACCCGTCCAGATCCTGTCACAGCCAAGACAAGAGGGGTAGATGAATAAAAAGGCTCCTGGGTGAGTAATTCATATTTTTACTATTACTGTTACAACTGCTGTGTGATAGAGTGAATGCTACAAATTCAGCTTTTTGGCAAAGAGCCTCTCTCTTCCCTGGTGGATTTCTGCACATTTCTGTCACCAGTCAATGTGGAGGAAAGGCAGTATTTCGGAGGGGGGATAAGCGCACACAAACATGCACATGAACGGACACAGACGCACGCACACGCAGATACATGTAGGGAGCACCTACACACACGCGCTGGGAATGCAATGCTCACATGTGCAACGCGCAAATAGGCTATTAAATACACACCAGCAGGTATGCACACACGCGCTCATGCACGCAAGCACACCCCTCTTGTTCCCCACACCACCCCAGCGGTCTTACCTCCAGACTTGCCCCAGCTGCAGGACGTGAAGCACGGTTTGAAAGACCCACATGCAGACGGTGCAGCATCTCTGGGGGGGGGCGACTCTCACTGCCGTCGCAGGCGGGGCAGAGGACGTGTAAATCGGGGTAACATTCGCAGCGTTCCCCGCCGCCGCGCTCCCACCTCGCTGGTCGCTGTCCTTGGTGCTTAAAGTGTTGTCGCCCGCCTTGGCTGCTCCGGCTGCCGCGCCTGCCGCTCCCGCGCCGGTCCCGCTGCCACTCGCCGCTCCGTCCCCGCCGCTCAGATCCGAGTAGTCATACACGAACCACCTGAAACTCAATACCTGGACGACAGCGGAGGGCACCACGACGAAGACGAGCGTCAAGCCGAACCACCAGTAGTCGCCTCTCAGGTAGTAGTCGGCGGCCAGCCACAGGTCGGTCGCGCCGTCGGAGAAAAAGACGAGCAGGGCGCAGAGCACCCAGCAGCAGTCCAGCAGGGTGTAGGGTTTCCCGCCGGCGGCGGTGCAGCGGGGCCGGGCGGCGGGGTTCCCCGGCTCCGAGAGGCTCTTGGGCGTGTTGTCATCTTCCACAGACACCGCTGCTCCATCCGACTTAGCGGCCATGTTGGTTAGGATAGGAGAGAAAGACAGAGAAAGAGGTGGGGAAACGGGAGAGAGAGGGAGAGAGAGAGAAAGGGAGGGGGCTGGCTGTGTGCAGGAGAGAGAGAGTGAGAGAGATTACATCATAACTAGCCTCATCATCAGCCAATTAATTGTGAGGCATCATTACTAACAGCGCTTTTAACACCGTGACACCAGCGCAATGTTTCCAGGACATTCAGCGTGCAGACAGAAAAATCAAACAACTGTGACCTGCAGGGCTTTTATTTTTTTAAATCCTATCATTAAATGTATTCCAGTTACATTATGTCCCTGCAGTAGCTGCACTCTGCTGCACATAACAGGACTGTTGTTAAACTCATATTATAGTGGTTTTATATGCAGCTGGTGCTGAGTATCAGTTTCTCGCTTGGCACCGTCACTGAGGGGAGACTCATCATTTCACTGTGAATGCTGTAAACCGATGAACGCTTTGCATCCCGTCCACTCTTTTCTGTGCTGGTTCTGCACAATGTGTGCCTCCAGTCAAATATATGTTCAAATGTGTATATGTGCATTAACTCAGAATCATAACCCCGAGACATTCTGAGGAAATGCTTTCAGAAGGTCTTTAAGGAAGTAGCTCACAGTGATATTCTTTCAGTTTTATTTGCCAAGAGTTTTGTCCTGCTTCACATTCAGACAGATGTATAAATTCATATGAGCTCTTCAGTAAAACCACAGTCTGCTGTCTCACTGGAACAGAAAGGTTAAACGGTAATGCCACTGTTTTTTCTGTTGGTGTTCCTCTCTCACTGCATATGCTCAGCAGAGTTATAGATATAAAAGGCTGATTTTCTTTCATCAGAGAAGGAACCTGTTGTCTGCATGTTCAGTGTGAAGAACACAGGAAGAGATAGTGAGCACATAATTCATAGGTGTCCTCACAACCATATGTTGTCACGCAAATAACATTTGTCCTGGTTTCTGATGACATCATGTGTACCAAGAGTAGCCTACAGTATTTCAAAAGTGCTAAAAATGAATTACGTCATTGCAAAATGCTCAGAAGGATTTGGCCTTTATCAGAAAATTTGAGTTGAGAAAGACAGTGTAGGTGTGTATTGATTGTCCTGTCATCGATCGCAGTGGTTCTGAAGGTGGTGTCCAAGGATCCACAGGGGTCCATGTGGGGGTTCCTGGGGGTCCTCAGCTTAACGGGGAATAATTTATTTTCACTATAATTCCATCCATAAGTAACACAGTGGCAGAGTGAATGGATATTTTGGTTGTGGGTTTAAACACTTCCTGTGATCAAAAGCAAAAATCTAAAATCTAAAAGCAAATGACGGTCTGTGGTCTAATTTGTGTTGGTTTAAGCAAATGGCGGTTTGTGGTCGTCAGTTTAGGGGTCCTTGATTTGAAAAAGTTTGAGAACCACTGACCTACAGTATACTTCTGGTTAAATCAAACTTTAAAGGAAATTTTTTTGTGTGCCAAAATGACAAACACATCTGCAATCTGAGGATTTAGCCACTTATGGAAGTTTAAAACCATGTAACCAGGCTTTTTCTTCAGGGTAAACATGACGCTGTGTGAAGGTGTCCTGGAGATGTGGGCCAAAGATGCTGCATTTTGAACAAATCAGAATAAACTACAATGTTTTTGGCATTCCTCTAACCCTTTCTGTCAAAGGCCAAAACATTGTTTTCCTTAAAGTATGGAAGTCTTGCGGCTTTTCTGTTTCAGACTAACCACTGATGTTTCAATATTAAGACACATTTAGTATGAATGGTTACCTTCATACATATGATTTGTGATGGATGATATTGATGTTGATTAGCCTGGAAATGCAAATGCATTATTATAAATGCATTTAGAATGAAGAATTTGAAAGGTGTCAAATATGACAGCTCATAATAAAACTGATGTAATTCAACTAATCAGTGAACTATACGAGTTTTTTAGTTGGCATTATTCTACATTTTAAAAATACCAAAACCAACAAAGCATCACTTAATCATGACATACTTTGTGACTTCCTTACCTTACCTGCGGCATTCGACATCAAGCCAAATGATTCATACTGAAGATGTAAATCTTTAAAAATGAGCTACTCCATGTTTTAAAATGGACACCTTAGTTTTAGCAAACTTTACTCAAACAGGAGGAAATAGTGCATTTGTTGGGCACTATTTTCACTGGAGGATTATTACACAGTCGGAGTATTTTTGGCACCAAGAAGGTGTGTGTGGAATAAGATGTGTTAGGGTTTGAATACACAGACAGTACTTGTTATGAGGACTTTATTCTTTGTTTTGGTCTTTCTGGCAATAAGAAAAGAATAGAGTATTACCAGATGTCACCTTTAAGAGTTCATCAGCATCATTTGTTAAAGAGGGGGATTAATTACTCAGTATTTTCTCCTTTTTTTGGCTGGTCTCGGACCAGCAGCTCTCTAACCTCACAGGCTCTCTCAGTTTTAGCAGCAGGGCCTTTAAAGTGCATTTGTCTGATTGTAACAAGGCAGTGATGCATAAAGCTGACAAGATACAGAGCAACTGGTCTGTTTGCAGCAGTGACCGTACTAATTGAAAAGATCCCATAAACTCTGAGCAGAATAAGCAATAAAACTCTTTGGTGAATTACGGCTCTGCGCTTCACTGCCCTCAATAAACTAATCAGCCACCGTGTTTCCACATCGGGGCCGAGTGAGGCTTATCTGAGCCAGGGTCAATCCAAAATGTCTGTGGAACAAGATATAAAGCCCAGTTTGTTAATCTGAAGCTATCGCTCTGCTCACAAACCACCTCAGCAGCAATCACATCTGCAGTTGTTTTTTTGGGGTCTGGCTCTGTCTGGCCCTGATGTGGAGACTAACATGATTTCGCTGATGGGTGATGCTGCATGACGAACCCATATAGGCCTTGAAATGGAGACAAGAGCCCCTGTTACAGAAACTTCCTGACTCTAAAAATCCTTTCCAATCTTATGAAAACGATTGTATTTTACTTTCTTTCTTTCTTACAACATTATTAATTTATGAGTTAAGTATGGTCACGTCAAATAATTTGCTCTGGCTGCCAAAACGAAGGACACTGTTGAAGTTCATATGAGCTCTGATGTAGATGACATACTGGCAGGTTTATTCAGGATGCTTGGTCTTGCTAACTGTATTTAAAGGGCCTGCAAAGCAAACAGTCAACCTATATCTTTGTGTGACAAACCACAAGGCAAAAAGTTAACCAAATGAAATCTTTTAAAACCCCCTTAGGCCTGTGGGAGTTATATTCTTCCAAATTTTTGAGAATTGAGAAGAATTGAGAACAAATGTTTGATGAGAACCAAAGTTTGTGTTCTCTAGAGAAGAGCGCTGCTATTCGGATGGGTTGCCACCAAACCACATCGTAATTTGTTACCATAAAGTTGCTTGGACTTCAACTTTTCCTGACACCCACCCTTGCTTTAGCCCATTCCTTATTGGATTTATTTGCCTGATCCATTGACTGTCTTCCTTTGTACTGAACCCTTTGGCAAGTATAGACTTTTTCCACTGACTCCTCATCTCTGTGTTCAGATGTTACACTTATGGCCCCAGAATCAGGAGTAAGCCTGAACTAACCTGCTATTTTAAAGATAGTTCAGTGAGTTGCTTTAATTTTATATAAGCAAGCTTGTCCTTGGACAGCAGCTACTGATAAAATCCACACACCCACATAATTCAGGCATTTAAACAGTCTGATCAAGAGAGACTAAGACAGGTATCACACTCCCAGATGGTTTTTAATGGCTCATTGCTGTGTAAGTCAAAGCTGGAAGTGTTTTGGTTTTTGTTTCACGACATATATTAGCGATACACAGATTTGTCTGGATATTTTTTTTGATAAATGATGCCCATTATGAGTTGGAGACTAAGGGGAGCTAATTAGAGATCCCAGATCATCACGGCTCCGACTCTGGCACAGTTTAGAAAAACACAGTCGAGGTTCTGCAAAAAGAAAACTCTCTCTGCTACGTTCTTACCATGCAAAGTTTCTCATTAAGCCCCAACAGCCGTGAAAGTAAAATATAGAAGTTTGTAGCAGTTTAGAAATATCTTCATTGCTCATGGATGGAGCAAGAAAGGATCACTGCCCGGGTCAGGGGTTCAGTTCCCAGCTGGTCCACTCAAGCAAAAATTTAAATGTATTTCAGGATCCTTACAGTTTATCTTCATGTTACAAAATGAATAGTTCTACAACCAGAAGGATTGGTGAAATGAAAAAAATCATTACCAAAATAAAGTATGTACAATACATACAGATACTGTTGTTACCAGGGCAACAGTTCTGACAGCTCCTACAAGAAACTTCAACTACAGTAAAAACTGAACTGCAATGGGCTCTGAGCTCCATCTCATGATATGGCTGGATTGGTTTATGGATGGTTTGTTAGGGGCCCCTCTGCAAAAAAAATGCTGTTGGGCCCCTATTGTGGTAATTCCAGTGTACACCACTTTGTTCAGGAATATGTACCATGCAAGCACAGGGCCCCTCTTCAACACAGGGCCACAAAATTAGCTGATACTGCTGTTGATATTGTACTTTTGTGATTCAAATTCCTTGTAAAATCAATGAAATTACCAAAAAAATGTTTTTGCTTAATTTATTATTTTTTTGCACAGCAGTATTAACAAAATGGCCTGTAATTGTTACCTCATAATACATGTGCACTAATCATAAAAAAACAATTACCCATGTTACCTGCCAGGCTTTGTATGGTTGCAAACAGAGGACAGAAATTTAATTCTTTCTGACTGAACTTCAGCTTTTCATATCAGCTGCACAGTTCTGACACCATGGTAGCTCTATACTGCCCAAAACATTCAGTATATTAACCAGACCTACACAGTCAGTGAACAGATTCATTAGAAATTATTATTATTACTTATTTCCACCTTGCTCTGCTAGATAATGAATTTTGTAGCTTTTTCTGAAAATCTGAAACATAGTTTTGGGATTTTCTGTCCTCATTCAAAAACAAGT